CGTCAAATTCAAGGAGCGTAACCATAGTTTCTTGATATATCATTACTTACAAGGTATTACTTTTAAATATTTTTATATTATTTGGAAGGTTTGGTTGTCATAACTAAACGTTCGATGCAATGAGCTAGTTGTAAATAATTCAATTCCTATTCGAAAAAGATAATCGTACTTAACCCTAAAGTAAATTTTCGGTGTACCTACAAACTATTTAAAGAAAAACGAAAGAATTTCTATTTTCCCAAAACTGAATGTTGACGCTCGTAAATCGACTAGAAAAGGAAACAAATATTGATTTCGATTTCTTTATTTGATGTTATGTCAGTGAACTTTTTATTATCCCATTTCAAACACGTCTTTCGATATTCCAGGCCCCTAAGTCATGCAGTCTCACGAAACCATATATACATTTTATCTCTATATATAGACTATTTGTACACATTTAGGCTTTGACAAGCATAAAAGCTCTTATCGTTTGTTATAATAGTTAATTAGTGTTTGGTTTCGATTATGGTTAACAGAAAACATTTTACTTAATTGTTAACAATCGGGTAAAGATTAGTTTATTTTTTAGATTGAGTATGCATATACGTGAGATCATATACATATAATCTAGGAAATTTGTAAATATATGAGATTTATGATGCTCATATTATGAGTAATAAGATCGGCAATACTGTATGGTATACAGGGTAATTAAAATTTGATTCCTACCATTAGCATCTCAGGAATTCTCATAGAAATTTCAGGATTGTTTAATTACGGATAAGTTGTGGATTAACCTGCCTAATAATATGCCTTCTGGAAACCTTAAAATTCCAAGTATTTTTGGGGATAATCGAGAAAAAATCGAAAATTAAAGATTCTGATTTTATTTTCCTCTGGCGTTATTTGATAAGGTATCCCAAACCTGAAAGGCATATTTTCATTGCCACTTTTTTCCAGCTACACAACACTATTTTCAAGTTTGCCTTCCAACGTTTCATCACCAACTTTAGTTTTTCTTAAAGGCGTTATATTAGAATGTTACACTAATAATCTAAATTAAAATAATAACTCTAAATAGATAAAATGATTGCGACTCTAACAATGTATAACAAATGATGCATAGTGGCTTTTAAATGTCAATAATTTGTAAAAGTTGTTTTCAAGAAGCGTAGGTTGTTTGAAAAAACGAGATATGTTAACTTTATTATAAATTTGGCAGAAATTTGCCATAATTTAACTTATTATTTTCTATAGTTTTTGATATCCCAATGGTTGGGGTGGAATTCGAATTACCCTGTATAAACGAAGATTTGAACCAAACCAAAACCAGTTAAACGTAAATAGTTTCAGTCAATTTTGAATTCTTTGTTTGTTCTTCAAATGTGTGCAACACAGACAACTAAAATGTTGTAATATTTATGTATGTTGACCTATTTATAATATTGGTATCTCACCAGAACCCGCCAAGAAGATGAAAGAAGAAATAGGAGAAAAAAAAAGAACGAGGAAAACCACAGCGAGAAAATTTGGTGAGGAAAATGGAAGAGAGAAGTAAAGATAATTAGGTAATATTCGCCGCTTCGGAAGAACAACGACGTAACGACAAAGTAAATTTTAAAATTAAAAATAATCATAATAACTCGATACATAGAGCAATAATTTAGGAGACATGACTATTTTCGTAATAATTACACAGAATTTAGGTTTTTACCTCTCCTGTAAAATATACCGTGTAACACTTATTTCTCTTCCGGAGCGTCGATATGACACTCTCAAATTTTTAAAAAATCCTTAATGGCAACATATTATATGTAACTCTACATAAAAAAAAATAATTATCAATTTATTTAATTGTTTATTCATTCTAATCACATAAACATAATTCGCATTATGTGAGACATCTTATACTTCATATTTTGATATTATTCCGAAGTGTAATAGAGAAAGGTAACAATAAGACACGCCGGATGCACTGCAGCACCGGGAAAGAACCGTCGAAGAGCACGTCACAACATCGCAATTGTTTTGCTATTGTTAAGCAACCGATGCCGGTGGCGAGTGCAGGGATCTGGAGGGATCGGATAACCTTATGGGACGTGTTAAAAAAAGAAGAGCTGCGAAATTCGATCCGTCGATTTCGGATAGGAATGAATTAAATGTGCTTCCGGTAGAGGGTGGGCAAATCGGGCCTGCGAACAGAAGGTTTTTCGGATCAATTCTGGTGACAAATGACATTTGGCAGACTCGGAAGCTGCTGATGACATCGAAAGAATTCAAAACATTTTGAAATAAAATAAGAAAAACATTAAAGCTTCAGCATATAGGGGAGTTGTGTTTAGTTTATCAATGAAAATATCTTGAGTGTTCTGAAAAGGCTATATATTTCTCAAAGTTTTCATATTATTATAAAGAGTATATTGTATAGGAAGATCTTGAGGAAATTTCTTTTATACACAAATGAAATATCAATTATTTAACGGCTAGAAATCGGTTAGGAATCTGAGAAACGGGAAGAGATACAATTATGAAAAAAAAAACAGTTAGAGAAAAGTTGCACATTTTTAAACCATACAACACCGTGTTTTGAAGTCTATGCGATTACTTCCAAAGATATTTTGAAAAAAAACGAGTTTTCCCGGTTTCGTCTTTTTCCAGTTTCTTCTGACTCAATTTAAAAAGATATGAGAAAAAATGAAATATTAAAAAGATAAATTTCACATCCGTACAATGATATATTATGATATTTACTACATTTTTCATATTCAAAATAAAATATTATACCTACTTTTTCATTACCGGTTATAGTTGTAAATTAAGTATACAAACCACAGAGAAAAGTTTTCATTTGTGCCTCTAGATCTCGTGATAATAATGCTACTTCTGAACATACATTTCCAAATATATAAATTTTTATTTATTTATTTTTAAATTTATGAAGTTTTCTGAAGTTTATGAATGTAAATTTGATGAGCATCAAATATTGCAGATATTACATAATTAATTAGTGTATGATACACACCGTGTATTTAAAAAAAATCTGTTACCAAACTGGAGTGTTATCCTAAATTCATTTTAAATGAATAGAATACACTAAAAAATAAAAATTTAATGCTTTTAGTAGAACAAAATAAAATCAATGAATCAAAAATCAATGAATAAAAATAAAATCAATCAGTTAAAAAAAATATGAATCTATATTTTTGGAGATATCTGAAATAAATATTTAAATATTCAGTATAAAACTGATATTATTTAAAAAAATAAAAATATATTTGTATATTTAAAAATAGGAAGAGAGTAATTATACAGCAATTGTGTACAATAATTTTATTAATAACTAATTTTACTTCGCCTCAGAGACTCGTATTTCGTAAGTATGAGTGCGGGAACCTTTAGCTAGATGTACTCACATCGCTTTAATTTCCATACCACTCAAAAAATTAATCTTTACTCAAATCTTCTGGATAGACTGCCGTTAAAAAAACGTAAAAATTAAAATATCTGTTTTATGTAGTTTTTATTGAGTTTTGATAGTAAAAATAAGCCGATAATCCAAAAAAAAAAAATGTCGCGTGAATAAACTTCTGCAAAGTTTTTTTTTCTTGTTGTAATAAGAAACTTATAATAATAAGAAAAATATAATATTGACATATTTAGGAAAATTATTAGAGAGAGACTTCCTCTATATTTAACATTGTATAATGAACCCCTTTTCATAGCAGTGTAAAAAATAATTCGTATTTCAGTTCTCTCTAAAATCATTTCCTTGTTTGTATTGTAAATTGATAGACGTTATAAATAAATAATTACCATTATGAAAAACATTTGATTGTCGGATTTCAAAGGTTTTATAAATAAAGTTGAGATATAAAACATCTAAAGCTCTATTTGTACACCATTATTAATATTATTATATATCTATTTATATTTTTTTATATATTAATTCAAGATTGATTATTATAAAATTACCTAATAATAAATTAGAATATTAAGTACCTATTATACATAAATATTCCAAACACACTTCAAAATGTATTTTACTATACATATTTACAATTAATTATATTATAATAGGTACAAATATTTCAATATTTAAAGTTTTTAAGCTTTTTTTGAATAAAAGATGTTTACATGTGTTACTTTTTTATTATTCGAATTTTCTTATCAACAATATGCACCCAAGAATCATACTCAATTTATTCTGTTTATTTTATTAACGATATAGTAGTTTCTAGATTTTGAATATCTTAATTTTTGTTCTAGAAGGAAAATGAATGGAAAAATGTTCTAAGAATTATTAGTTTCATTTTTAAGTTAGTCCATAATAGCATTATATTTGTCAAGTAAAACTGCATTAATAATTATTATTTAATGGAATCAGTGTGTTTTGTTTGTAAACTGACGATCTATGATAATGAATGTAAAATCATCTAAATTCCAACTGAAATCTGTCAAATTAAATTTCTTTCCGGATTAAGAAAATATTTGTCACTTTTATCAATATAATTTAGCTCTTCATTTAATTAATAATTTAATGCAATTGGAAGTTCAACTAAAATTGTAATCTGTATTATCATATGTTTGTTTTCTACCCTATTGGGTAGAAAAACAAATGGGGGACTAGCAGGAATCTACTAAAAATTTTCATCGAAAAACAAACGAGTCCGGATTGGTCAAAGTCTTTAAACTGATATAAGAACCGAAGAACACGTCAATCGCTAATAATAAAGTACAATCAGAAAGATATAGACAGATGTTCGAGAAAATAGTAGCCAATGATGAGAGGAAATAACATATTTCACTTAAGTATTTTAATAAACGAGAACTGGACGATGCAAAATTATTTTCAGATTCGTGTATATTATACGTATCAAAGTTAAATACACCGGTCCCTATCCCCGGTCCGCCAATGACACTCGCCGGCCCGTCCGGCCAGCGGCGTGTTCAGGTAGTAGCTTCGACGGCCTGCCTGCCTGGAACACGGGGCATTCAGCCGGCCGACGATTCCGTCGCGGTGGAGGGGATAGGTTGTGTGCTAGGCTAGGGTTCGACTCGAAGGACCGAAATTCGTGTAATACATAACGGGAGGAGATTCAGTCCGTACGCAGCTTTGTCGCGCGCACTACACAAGCCGCCGCTCGTCTCGCCGATGCTCGCGATCGCCGATTCTCGCGCGGATAAATTGTGAGAGCAGCTCGCGCCACGACCAGTTGTCTTTCGACAGGGGGTTGGACGATAAGGGATGGTGCGCCCTTTAGAGTCGTAGAAGGACCGATCTGCATCGTTTTCTCCAATCGTCGATCTCGGTGAACGTTTTGTTTTTGTTCTCGTCCGGTGGTTGTTGAGTGTTTTGGTGGTGTCAGCGGTCTCTGACTCGATTGTGGATGTATTTTGTTTTGGTGACTGTGAGTTGTTGGAATCAGCGGAGTCGTTTCTAACGTGGACTTTTGGTGAGTACCAAATTTTCACCTCGGTCTTGAAAAGTGTATAAAACAAACTATTCAATTACAAAGTTTTTGGAATGACTTATTATAAACTCGTAATCCTTTTTGTATGACTTAGGAGCCCCAGTTTCTTCATGTTGTCTTGGAATGGCATTAGACGATTTTGTTTAATTGTTAGTCATCAAATCTTCGAATGTCTTGAAAAGTTACTGTGTAGAGTTTATAAAAAAGGATGAGTTTTGTGTCTACATCAAAACAAACTTTTTCAATAACAAAGTTTTTGGTTTAAGTTATGGTATACTCACAATCATTTTAGTATCACTTGGGACCTCCAGTTTCTTCATTTTGTCTTGGAATGGCATTAAACGATTCTGTTCAATTTGCAGTCATCAGATCTTCGAAGGTTTTGAAAAGTTACCGTTTAGAATTTATAAAAAATGATGAGTTTTCACCAAAACAAACTTTTTCAATAACGAAGTTTCTGGTTTAAGTTTTTGTATACTCGCAACCTTTTTGGTATAGCTTAGGACCTCAAGTATCTTCGTTTTCTCTCTTCTATTAAATTTTCATTCATCAATCAAACGGTTATTTTTTGTGTCTATATCAAAACACACTTTTTCAATAACAGAGTTATTATACACTCATAATCATATTAAACACATTCTAGGATTCTAGCAGTATAGGGTTTATAAAAAAGAGTTATTTCCATTTCTACATCAAAACAAACTTTTTCATTAACAATGTTTTTGATATAAGTTATTGTATACTCACAATCCTTTTGGTATTATTTGGGACCACCAGTTTCTTCATTTCATCTTGGGACGGCGTTAAAAGATTTTATTTTTCAGTCATCAAATCTTCAACGGTTTTGAAAAGTTAATGTGAAATGTGTATAAAACAGGGATATTTGCTATTCAACATCACTATTTCACTGACAATTTTTTTGGTGTAAATTATTCTATATTCGCCAAAATTTTTGATATCACTTAGAACCTTCAGATTCTTCATTTTGTCTTGGAAATGCATTAAACGTCAGTCAACAAATCTGAATCTTCTTGTCAATTGTGGAAGAAAACTTTTCCCATATGGTGATTCAAAAAACTAAACAAATACTTGAAAACTTCGAAATACCTCGACGAAGCTAAAATAAAAATCAAAATATTCGTTGACATTTTAATTTTTCTGGCGCAGAATTGCCTTCAAATGCGAAGTTCCGGTAGGATTTTAAATTTGACGGTTGGTTTTGTGCTAGTTACGATGAGATGATGCTCGGTCCGACTGAATGAGGAAGTCGAAGTGGGGAATCATTTCAAAGATGCAGTTTTGCTGAATACGAAATTTCAACGGATTGTAAACCACCAAAATTTTTGTTTGGTTTGTTTTTGTAGGTTTCCCCAGTAAAAATCATATTTATTAAATGATTTATTTCATTCGATCTTCAAAAAACATCTACCAATATGTAATACCTGTGAGTTTTGATTAACTAATTTACAGAACTTATTCTAGTTCTTCTGTGAATATATTCATTCTTCATCGATTTCAACTAGCCATCCCAATGAGTGTTCTGCTTTTATTTTATTATTTTCATGTTACCTACTCGGTTACCTATATTTAGTGATGGTGTTTTGAGTTTGACAAAATTGTGGAAGTATTTTGAAATAGTATTTTCTTTAAAAACTCTGAGCCCTTGGGACCGGTAGTTTTTGAAAGGATACATTTTTCGTGCGATTATCAAACATTTTTTAAAATATAAAGTACGTACTCTAAGTATTGCCTAGGAAGGTCAAAAAACTTACGTTCTTTTTTTTTACTTTGTACTTTTTGGTTAAGATAATTCTCAGTAGAATATGGAACTTGAAATATCTAAGTAAAAAATACGATTAAGATGTCTCTATGTAATCGAAGTAGTCTAAGAAACTTTAATAAACGCTTTTCATAAAATTTATAAAAATTAAGAAATTCTTAATCCATTTAATTAGAGCCCCCAGAGATTTTGATAATAAATCAGAAAGACCAAATGGTACTCAATACAATAGTTACTATATATAATACAATGTTTCTCAGTACGTAGTCAGATAGTGGTACTATCAGTTAGTCAAAATATATTATCTTTAAGATGAGATCCATTCTAGACTGAAGATGATGGAAATTTCCTCAAATTATTTCCATGCAAAATTATTTTCTTGTAAATTTAAGGTCTATTTCCATATTTGAAATAGCTTTATTTACATCTATCGATCTTGATGGCATCACAATTGAATTATACTTATCAATAATTTAAACTTATTTCTTTATTAATTCAACAAAAAATACAAAAGAATTCGTTGTTTTATTTTGCTATGTATTATTTTAGTTGCAGATTCGCAAAAATGCACCGAAGAATAAAACACAATTTTTACCTCGGTGAGAAATTCTTACTGCGAGCTTCAAATTCTCGAATGCCAGCATATTTAACAATATGCGCCAACAAAAGCGTCACTTAACTTTACGTGACATATCAGGGAAATCTGCCTTTTGAGACGTGAGAGTCTTTCAGGTTTACTCTCAAGTAGGTTACTAACTCTTAGATACTCGAGCCGGCGTGACTATAATCAACATTTCATAAATTAGTTGTCTAGTTGTTTTTCAACGAACGGCGCCTATAAATAGTAAGATTCGTTATTAATCACAATAATTATCACACACTAATTTGAATATTATATTTACCTAAAACAATTACTTTTTTATTGATAATACTACTACATTAGAAAGCAAGCAGTAATAAAAGCCACTCAAACAGCAGAACAATAAAACTCAAATGAAGGAAGAATATGCAAGAGATGCTCATTGTAATTACTTGTAGAGTAAAGTTACTAAAGAATTACTCTGAAGATATTTAAAATTTAAATGACTCAAAATAAATTTAATGTTAACGTCAATATTTATCCGTGGCTCACTTTTATAAAACTTCAGACATATTTTACTGAAAGGACTCTCAGCCTGGCAACCACTTTTAATAACAATTTTTCATGTTGTAATATCCTTCGGGAGATTTAATTATTAAAAGCCTCATTAAATGAGACGCACAAAGAAAAACAAAATCATTTATTTAAAGGTCTAATCTCCTTCTTTATACCGCGGATTATCCTTCTTCCGGCATTTAAAATTATAAAGTATTTCCCCTTGCTTTGGAAGCTGCAAGATTACGGAGACAGATTTTTAAGTTCAGCGAAATTTTTGAAAAACTGTCCGAGGCAGGTAGAATTTTTAATTCCTTTTAATACGGTGACGTGACTTGATCAAAGAGACCTGAGGTTGAACTTAAAACTGATCCTAAAATATTTTAACTAAAAAAAAAACAGATAAATGACGCAAACAAAATGCATAATCTTTGTGGATTAATATTTTTGTATGACACAAACAAAATGCATAATCTTTGAAGATAAAACTATATTTGCTTTTAGTTTTACATTATGTAAACACTCTGCAAATTAATATAGCTATCAATATTCTTCAGATAAGACCTTTACAGTAGTTTTTCGGGTAAACAAAATATTACCTGACTCACTAAATAAACTACCCCAAACTATTATAGCATATTTTTGAAAAAATATATTAATTTGAAAAACAAAACACTTTGAATTCCCTGACTTACAGTTTTAAATAGTTTGGATACTGTGAAGGGAAATTCGAAACAATAAGCCTACGCGTTGATCTGCAATTTTAAGTCGGCCGACTATTTAGTTGCAAAAGTGAAAAAAATACATACTTATGGAGCCGATTATTTGATTGCATGCGGCTCCATAGGAATATATTGGTTACAAATTTGCAACTAAATAGTCGGCGGATTAAAAATTGCCTGTCAGCGTAAAGCTACGCAATGCAATCGGCTCCATAAAAATCTATTGTTTTCACTTTTGCAACTAAATAATCGGCCGACAACGTGTCAGTGCGTACCCTACCCTAATTATCCTAAAAAACCTCACGAGAGAAAGGCAGAAAAATGCATGCCTCATTTAGAAATATGTAATAATTACTTTATTCAAATAATTGTTTTGAGTAGTGTATTTTTTCACTTTTTGTAATATTTGTTTTTCATCTTCTTCTACTTTAGAATTTAGAATAAGTGGGAGGGGGGTTAATCTCTGCGACCTTAGAGATCTATTGTGTCCCCCTTTCTTGAGTTATAACTCATCATACAGTCCCAGGACTTCCTACGGAGACCCGTGTCCCTCACAGTCGAGGAGCTACGACCCAGGCCGGGTAGACGAAACGGTAGCTTGTGTCGCCTGTTGGTTTAGAGGTAGGAGGTAGGCTCCCGACCCTTGGAGGAGGTGGTAGCTTGTATGCCACTTGCGGAGGATAGTCTCACGCAAGTGTCAGCCACCTCTCCTATAGTTCTCTTTGGGTTTGGCCCCTTGGAACTTTCATTGTTACTGTTCCCAGTGTCGCTAGGGGGTTTCTCCACAGCTTCATCGGTGATGTTTTTATTACTATTATTATCAGATCTCATAGTGTTCCTATGAGTCGCTAGGGACAGTCGGTCCACTTCTACAGAGCCCCGCATGTAGAAGTAAGGGGTAAAATACAATGGGGTGCCCCCCGGTGCCCCAAGGTTGAGGCTATCCGTAGCCCCGCCCGGTATCGTTATATGTCTTGGTGCAATTCCCTGGCCACGACACTACAGTCAGGGACAAGACGATGAGTGAGATGCTTCTTAGACCAAGCCAAGTGCTAGGGGGGATTCCCCCCAGCACCTGACCAGGAGCTTCCCCACCAACGACAAGGTCTTGCATCTCCTAGGGGAAGTTCTTCTACTTTAATATATTATATTTTTATGATATTATGTCATTGTTATACTTATCGATCTATTGTGTCTCCTTTCTTAAGTTATAACTCATTATATATAGCCAGTATCTGAGACGGTTTTACAGAGTTTAGTTTTCCATCTCCGATATCAGTCGTACTAAAGTTTGTGGCGAATGGTTGTCGTCTTGGCGCACTCAGTGTGAAGAGGTGTTCTGGTG